TTCAGGAAGCTGTTATGACAAGTGCACATAGGATGCAATTAAAATAAAATAGAATAATAAATATAAACAGAAAGGTTAAAGGTTAAACTTACAGCTTTGACCTCATGAGGATGATATTTCACTTAAAGTGACCCTGTATTGATCTTTCCCCTTTCCTCCCTCAACGTCTCCTGTCAACAGGGAGGGTTAGTGCTTAATGATACGGTTCATGGGAGTTCATGTTCTCATAGACGACCTCTTTAAATTTGATATATTCTTATTATTTTTGCTCTATCCTGTGATCTCAGACTAATTTTACATTTCATCACAAAGCTTTCCACCTCATTTTCATCCTCTGTGAATTTAAAGTCTCTGCGTTTGACTGACCTTTGAAAATCCATGCCTCTTTTTTAACTGGAGCACTTTAATCTTTTTTCTTCATGATGAAAGTTCACTCCTCTGTTGAGTTTGTTGTTAATATATTATGATCCCTCTTTGCTTGATATTGTATAATTCTCTCATTTTCTACATAGATACATGATATGGGAATTTAAATAATTACTGTTCACTTGGTGATCACATTTTCTATGTTTTGCTTAAATATTGAACTCTGTCATTTTGTTTTTTCCTCTGTTCTCTTTTGGATTTATTTTTTTTATTTTTTTTTCAGTCTCACCTTCATTTCTTCCACTCCGGCTCTTTGATCCCCACTACCCATTTGACATGTCAGCAGGCTAAGTATGGTGTGTAGTTTAATAAGATGATGCTTTTCTACAGAGTCATCTGTCACCAAAAGCTAAACGATTAAAGGGAAAGTGACTTGTATCTTGTCTGTGATGAATTATGCGTGAAGGGGTCAGGGGGTCCTCTGTTTTCGTTACAGTCGACAGCTCAAGCACGGACCTCAGGTAGTGCGCTCATCAGTCTGTTTCTCACCATATGGAGTCAATGAACTGATGCAGCCCTCTAACACACACACATATGGCATACATGCATCCCAACACGTTTCCACATATACAGAATATAAATGTATATATATTTCTTATCATCAGATCGATAGATAGATAGATAGATAGATAGATAGATAGATAGATAGATAGATAGATAGATAGATAGATAGATAGATAGATAGATAGATAGATAGATAGATAGATAGATAGATAGATAGATAGATAGATAGATAGATAGACTGACTGTCTCCATCTGATGGTCATAAAGTGAAATTGCTATTCTTATGCTAAATCTGCCTAGACACAAATATTAAAGCATATTAGACAAGTAAAGATGTAAAATCAACTAATATTGGGTAAATCCCTGATTGTTTTTCCATTTTCTGTCTCTCAGTGTCTAATTGGGTGAAACTATTCCCAGACAAATTGAATTGCTTGTTTCCGCCTCCTTCCAATTGAGATATCTGTTACAGATGATGTGCCTTATAATGAATGCCTAATTTATGTAATTAGACCATTAAGCATAATCCGAGCATATGCTGTGAATGCCCCGAGGTGTTCTTCCAGGTAGCAGCCCCCTCCTTCCGATTTCACCCAGAAACAGCTGATGGAAGAGACTGCCAGCAAGACCAACTCCACCCTCTGATGAAAACAAGACAAAACACAAATTTGTTCATTAATGAACGCAAAAATAAAAAATAAAATAAACGCTTTTGTTGAAATGAAAATGAAAAGTCTCCTTTAACTTCTCGTCGTATAGGCTTGCATTTGCTTGGATGAGCTCTTGAGGTAGCACTCTGGCTGCTAATTAATTGTCTTTCTGCTGAATATTCATACCTTATGATCGGCACGTCCTTAATTGCGCCGTAAAACATCTCTGGGGGTCCGAATCCACGGCGGACTTAATTAGAGACGCAGGCCTGTTTGTTGCGTTTGCGGCAGACAGCAAACTGTGCTGCTACATGCTTTCTCCTGTCCGATTAGGCACCTTTACCACAAAAGACTATCAGATTTCTCACCCATGCGAAATAAATAAATAAATGGCAGGTGGTATGCTACACATTATTGAACAGCTCAATAATGCTAAAAGAATGCAACCGATTTTTGCATTTACTTAATCATATTTGCTTTAACACAATTGTTTTATGTCCTACCCTGCTAACATGAAACAATTGTGTTAAAGCAACTAAATATGAATATGAAGTAAATGCATAAAACGGTTGCATTATTTTTTTCAGCACCCAGGAGGCATCTTCTCACCTGCATTCCCCCACCACCCACTCCCCTACACACATACCAGCTTGAATTTTTATATTAAGAATTTACATCGACTTGTATTCATTTTGGTTACTGCATTTAGGCCCAACTCTGACATTATACCTAACTATATCCATCATCTGTAGTCCTAACCTTAACCTAAAGTTATTTCACACAATACTACGCTGTTATAAATAGGGGTCCACCGCATTAGGACTAGCCTTAAGGCCAGTTGGTCCTCAGAAGGTTAGTAAATATAACAAAAAACGGTCCTAAGTAGATAAACAAGGACAGCTACACACGCGCGCACACACACACCACACACTCACACACAAAATAGTTAACAGGAAAAAGTAAAATTTTATCCCACAGCTATTTTATCTATAAATACCTTGAATTATTATTTCTTGAATTATTATTATTTGAATTATTATTTCATAATAAAAATGTATTATATATATATATATATATATATATATATATATATATATATATATATATATATATATATATATATATATATATATATATATATATATATATATATATAAAGAAATATATGTATAATTTTGTCACTAATGTATGTCTTTTAATCACTTGTTTATTTTATTTCTTTTCCTCCTCTACCTCCGTGGGTCTGTGGGTCTGGGTGGCAGCATATCTCAACTCGATTCAGTGTGACAATATTGTTTGGCTATCATTCGCTGGTTTAGTATGAATGGCATCGATCCTCTTTTAACAACATTTGTTTCCTATTGTGTTCGGCGGCGCAGCAGAGGAGGGCAGACGTGTGAAAGTGGCTGTTTGATTCTCTTTTTCATCCCATGACCTCAGCTTTTGTGTCTGGTCACCCTGGGAATGTCACGCCTCACTACTCTACTTTAAGATGTTTCAGAAAGTGCCCTTTGTTTTCCTTCTTCTTTTTTTTTTTAAAGCTCACACAAAATTGTTCTTGAGCACCCCCCACCACCTCAACCTCCTTCTTGCTATAAAGGATACTTCAGAACGAGGCACGGTTCACAAGTGCAATGCAATTTGGCTTATCCCAACCTTTGTTCGGGTTTCTACAAATGACCAAACATAGTGCAGACTTGATCTACTGCTGCTTGAACTCGGGAGTTTGGAAGCCGCTGCAAAGAAAACCTATTGAGATTCAGAGTCATGGTGGTATTTTCAGTGTGTGCATCGGCAGGGACAATGGGCCCAACAATATCCCATAACCCCGGAGCTCAAAAAGCCATTGCGTTTGAGAGTGAGTGAAGTCAAAATAACGGCCCTTAAACCCTGCGCAAATGAGCGTTGCAGGTCAATTTGCAAGGGTGCACAACTTCCTCTGATATATGAAATATTGGTAACTACATAAAATCTATACATTGTATATTTCCTCTGATGTCACAATAGGTAAATTTGTTTTATTTTGCACGACACTAATGCACTCACTGATTAATTAGCGTGAGCTCTCATCATATCATACATATATAATAATGGGAGTGAATTGACGTCCCGCCCTGCGCTCTGGATGTCAGAAGATATTTGGCTCTTTGCAGACTGTTTTCATTATCCGCAGTGTTTGAGTTGAGGGCGACAAAGCCACTTCCTTTTGGACAAATCCCTTTCCCCGGAACATTAACGAGAAATGACAAGTGTTAAAAGTCAGTCTGCTGAAGCAAAAAAAAGGAAAAAAAAAATCCATGTTTTTGAGTCTCACCAAAAATTACAAAAATAAATACAGTTAATTTAAAAGAGACGTTTAGATAATGATCCTAATTTCTTTCTATTATTTTTAAAAGATTAATTGCTTTACATATTTGTCCTGACTGATGATTTGAGTTCGTTAATCAGTCCAGAGGACGCTCCTCTGCAGGTTTCTGGGTAAAAGTAGAAGGCTCGGTGCTCCCCCGCAATGCGATTCTTGTCGTAATCCATCAGACTGGTGATGGGTTGCGCTGTGGGTTTATAGAGGCGGGGAAATTAGCATAAATTATGAGTAAATCTGGATGTGCGTGTGTGGTCCCCTGGCATTGCGAACCCTCCAAGCGTAAAAAGGTGGCCCTGCACGGCCAAAGAAGCCTGAATAGAACTTTTCTGAAAATAGGCTTCCAATTTCGAGGCTCCGCATTCATATAATTGACTTATGGATATTTTATACAGTTTTCGCCACACCATCCTTGAGGGTTTATTTGCATTCCTGAAGTACTTTTTGGATCTTCTTTTACATAAACACAAAAGAGCTGATTGCCTCATGAAGTTTCAGTTTGAACAGCTTTGTGTTGCACGTTTTTTTTCTCGCTGTACTCTGATTAGCTGAGAAAAACTAATATTCAAATACACCCACTCAATGCAAATATTTTTTTTCCATCGCGTGCAATATAACATTTTCATTTGTGAATAAAATCAATTTTCCAAGCGCCTTAATTCATTCCACCGAATTTAATTTAATACATATTTTACTATCCATTTATTACCCACCTACAAAATTGCGTAATCCAGTTTATAGCAATAAAAACAAGGAAATATGGTTTAATTTTAATGAAAATGTAACATGGCAAATAGGCTACTCTTAGCTTTAGTTTAAATTCTGAGAGTTAAGTCCGCAGAAGAGCGCATACCTTAACACACTGAGTGCCATCCGGTTACCGAGCCTCTTTCGCACCCTTTTGCTGTCTTCAAATGGAAATGATTTCCATTGGCCCAAGGTGTCCGTGTAAATAAGTGTAAATGAAACCAGATTATGCCTTCCTTCCCAGCACCCCTCCCTCCCCTCCTTCCCCTCCCATGGCAATTGTCATGTGATAGCAAAGAGGTGGCACATTAATGGAGCGCCTCTACAGGGGTTCTTTTCTGCTCATGTCACAACATAAAACTATCAGATGGTTAGAGGAAGGCCATGGAGGCGCACGACAGTTAGTCTCATACAAGGGGAAACCGCCAAATGAAGTCCACTCTGCAACCGTAACGGAACAAGCTGAACCACTTTGCCAGAGAGAGAGAGAGAGAGAAAAAAAAAGACGCTCTGTAAATGCTCACCGTCCCTCTCCAGCGCAGAGGCACTCAGAGACCGGCTGTTTTACGCGCACCGCAACTGCAGCTTTGCAAAGACTGAAACTTTTCCCGACTGTTGTTTGCGTGACAAGAACTGAGCTTCCATCGAGGAACTGAGGGAAAGATTAAAAATATAATATCATTATTTTATTCCGCTTTACAAAACAGTGAGGATGCCTCGGCCGGGGAGAAACACTTACAGCGACCAGAAGCCTCCCTACTCCTATATCTCACTGACCGCCATGGCAATCCAGAGCTGCCCAGAGAAGATGCTGCCTCTCAGTGAAATTTACAAGTTCATCATGGATAGGTTCCCTTACTACAGGGAGAACACGCAGCGGTGGCAGAACTCTCTGCGGCACAATCTATCATTCAATGACTGTTTTATCAAAATCCCCCGGCGCCCGGACCAGCCGGGCAAGGGCAGCTTCTGGGCTCTGCACCCAAACTGCGGGGACATGTTCGAAAATGGAAGTTTTCTGAGGCGTCGCAAAAGGTTCAAGGTGTTGCCAGCTTCAGACCACCTAGGCCCCACCAAGCAGTCAGATGCCGCGCATTACCTCCAGCAGCAAGCCAAGCTGAGGCTGAGCGCACTGGCGGCCACCGGCACGCACCTTCCCCAGATGTCAACCTACAACCTTGGAGTTTCCCAATCGTCCACCTTCAAGCACCCGTTCGCCATAGAGAACATCATCGCCCGGGAGTACAAGGTCCCCGGCAGCCTGGCGTTCTCCACCATGCAGTCTATGTCCGCCGGGTACCCGCTGCACAATCAGCTTACGACGGCCTGGCCCCACATGTACAACAGCAGCGTGATCGACACGGCGGCCCCCATCTCCATGACGAGCAGCGACTACAGCGCGTACGGTGTACCCATAAAGACGCTGTGTCACGGGGGACAGTCCTTACCGGCCATCCCAGTGCCGATCAAGCCCACCCCGACCTCCATGACGGGCTTTTCGGCGTTACCTCCTCACATCCCCGCATTCCTATCAAACTCTCCACAGTCTCTGAGCCCGACCTCCCCACAGACAGCAACGAGCCAAAGCAGCCCGGCGACCCCGAGCGAAACTCTGACGGGCCCCTCCACGCTGCAGTCCGTGGCCGTGCACTGACTTTCCCAGGCCCCCCTACTCCCCTTCTTACCAAACCCAAAGTTTATATTTTCTGCAGTCGGAAACTATCAAGGCGAGTGGAGGTTATATATTGATTTATTTGTGTGTATATATGTCGAATGTGTCGCTTTAAATCGTGTCAAGTCCAGCACAGAAACGCACACGAAGTATTGCTCTTGAACATATAAATTATTTGATAGTTCTATTTTTCAGTTTGTTGTGATATTAAAGTGTTGATGGTGGGGGGCCCAATAAGGTGATCAGGGGGCTTGCCTTTTTTTTTTTTTTTTTTTGGCAAGAACTCGGTTGGAACTTTTGCACCGTTTCTGTGGGACCACCATAATCTCAATAATGATACAAAAACATCTCCTTTTTGTTTACTTTTAACTCTAAATTTGTGGTTAAAGGTTTTGCCAAATAGGAGTAGTATTTAGATCTGTTCTTTCACCTCTCACACCATCCCTGGGGGGGAAAAAGGCAAAAAGCTGAAAGACATTGTGTTGTCATCAAAAAGCCAGATGTGAACGTTTGTTGTAAAATGCACTTTTTTTTAGTTGTATGTTTTAGATATCTATTTTACAGGAAAAAAAAATGTTCTGTGAAGCATTTAATTTAAAAGCCGTGGTGACCATGTTTATCAGATGCTGTAAAATTTGTAATTTTTTTTTTAAGGTGAAGCATGCGTTCCTGATTTTGTATTGTTCCTGTTGTTGTTGTCATTGTTGTTTTTTTCCCCACCTTTTCGTTTCACTCCTGTTTTTTCTCTCTCCTCTATTTCAAAAAATTTATTTCAAGCATGCCTGCTTTGGAAAAGTGTGCAAACAGTCTGCGATAAACGGGAGGAAAAAATGGTCATCCAAATATTTTTTCATTAAAAGTGAAATAAGCAATCCAAAGTGTTTCCGAAGTTTTCAAGAAATTCTTATGACTTTAAGAAATTATGCTTATGATTATATCATAGATTATGATTATTATCGCAAATTATAATTATAATAAATACTAATTTCTATAATTTAGAAAGCCATTTTTACCATTTACATAATATTATTAATAATCATGTTAATAAGTGGGAGAAAAGGGAAGCATTAAGTTCAGAAATGATTCTGCAGTCGATTAGGATGCAGGGAGCTGAGACGCCTTACTCACAGTGCAGACAACTAACCTCATTCATCAAGCCGAGCTAAACACTGCTGGGTCTGACAATAAACAATTAAAAGACTCACACACAGCATGCAAATTGATATTTATTTATAAGATAATATCAATGATAGGGATTTTATATTTGGAATAATGCATTTCTCTCTCTTTGGCATTTTTATCTATTTTATTTTTCTTGTTCGGGAAATAAAACTCAACAGGTTAGCAGATATAAAGTCAACAATATCACAAATTCTTACATTTAAATATTTAAACCTGATTTTTGCATCCTCTTAAATTATTATTGTTTTTAAAAGAAGAACAAATGGTTTGAGTATTAAACAAATACACTAGAATTCCGTCACTTTTTTTGCAATCCAAATCAAATAAAGGGTCTCTGGCCACTTCATTCACCTTCATTCACTTGTATTGAAAGTGCAAAGAATGGTAAACTTCGACTGGGCCACCAATGTAGATTTAGCCTTTTTTTTTTTCAGCAAGACAAAAAGACAGATTTTTTTTCTTCTTTCACAAAAACATTGCTGACTGGGGAACTAGGAAACGAGCTGCCGAGACTCTTTTGGAATTTAAATCCACCCCTCCCCCGTAGACTGTTTGTACAACAGTGTTAGTTCTTTTTTTTACTTTTTCTTCTTCTTAAACCCCCTCCTTCACTTTGTGCATTTGTGTTTGTAACATTATTTCTGACTCTGGAGAAGTCAGCTCCGACGTTACGATTTTACAGGATAGTGATATATTTTTAGGTAAATCATTTCATATCCCTACAGCATATCAAAATACATTAAAAAAATAAAAAACAAGAAACTCTTTATTTGTCCTGCTGGGTAAATGAATGCTTAAAAAACGAGGAAAGAACAAATTAATACAACCAAAAAAAATGTATGCATATGCATAAATACATATATGTATAGGTGATTTATTTTTCTTTTGCGATGGATGTAATGCAAATAAATAAATAAATAAAACTAAACAAAAAATACAAAGTAAAAATTGCAAGAACTCTATATTGAAACAAAAAATTGGATATTTTTACGGCATTAAGAACAAACTAACCGATTATCCAAATGTTAAAAGTTAATATTTTAATTTAAGATGCAGTCTTTTTAGTCATGCCTTTAGGACAGGAATAATACATTGAAATAAAAAAGGGTGTTTATTTGTCTTGTCTTTAATTTTATTTCTAACAAAAAAACATGCCGAGCTTTAGCTAGAAAAATCAGAATTAAATGTGAAACAAATGCAAAAGCTAAAATAAACTGGCAAACAATATAATTAAAATAAATAATAAGATAACAAAAAACAAATTTATTTCCACAATTTTAGTTTTTATTGTTTTCCACTTTAACACCTTTTTTTCTTTTTTTAAACCATTAAAGCTCAGTCATACTTGTATAATCTAAGGCTGCTCTGCCCTTGTTCTTTCAACTATGTTCCACTTACACAAAGAAGAAGGTCATCTCAGGCAGGAGATAAAATATAGACCACATACACAAAAAATAAAAAATCCATGTTGTAGTTTAATTAAAATAATTCATTAAAGTGTGAGCCTAAGGTAATTAGTATGTATAATTTATGATTTGCTTAATGCATGCAGGCGCTGGCCGCTGCCATAAACTCAGCTTAACCCAGAGTAAAGAACTGATGTGGACAGGGTGCAGTTATTTACAGTGTGTTTACTGTTTGTCAAGAGTAAGCAAGTGTCCCAGCAAACCCGGGCTGCTACCTGGCTCCACTTTGTACACAAACAACTTCAAATTTATGTGTTTATCTCCAGGATTTATGCCCACTCACAGGAGAGCCTGTCACGTTTGTTGAGGGGTAAACAATATTGGCAATTGCCCCCTCTTTTCTTTTGGCATTTATGTTTAATCCGTCGTATCGGGTTGGTCATTCTCTCTATAGATAGTTTCCTCAGCCTTCTTCGAGATGACAGAATGGGAACAAACACCACAAAGTGCAGCTCATCTTTTTCTCCCAGACGCTTGTCAGCCCCGACTTCTAGAGGAAAATAATCAGCAAAAGACCAAAAACTTGCATTAATCATACTCTGCATATGCTTCAATCCCAGGCAAGCCCTTGACATTTTGAAACGTGGCTAGTGGCTTTATTTTATCACATCTTGTGAGGATTTTTTTTTTTCCTGCAAAAACAACACAGTAAAGCAAATATTTTCAGACGGAGCTGTGTAGCACAGTAAACAGATTTATTTTAGTGGTAAACAGAGCAACTTGTGGGCTTTAGTGATTGGTGGAAAGAAGACAGCATTTCCTTTAAGGCTTTCATATTAGATCACCTGTTATTATCCTTGATATGAGTCCATTTTTACAATGAGAATAGTATTTCAGCCCACTCTTTGGTCACAGTACACATCATCATTATAACACTAAAAGCTTAAATCATCAGTGATAATGTGTTGCTCCCCAGGGTAAATGGGCTGCCTGGCTGTGGCTGAGGGCAAAGGGCAGGTATGGAGAGGGCAGCCGTAGGGAAAGAGACGTGGAGGGAGGGAGGGTGCCGCTGAATCCACGACCGGCTCAGTAAAACACCCATGTGTGCATGAAATTAGAGTGTCAACATCTGATTCATGCTTCTGGGTGGTGACTGTGAAACAAATTATGTCAGCGGGTGGCAGTGGCAAAATTCCACTGAGCTGCAGCAAACAGTGTCCCCTGTGAAGTTACAGCAGGCAGTAGATCAGGGTTTTATAAAGCACAAGAAAACATTTTTGCACTGTAAATGTGAACACATTAGAAATAGAATTTCAAGTCATTTACAAAAGAGCAAAAGAAAACAGAGAAAAATCTATTTTCCATCCTGTCTTTGTGCTGCTGACTGTAATTGCATTTAAGGGCTTAAATGGATGTTGGTGTCACAGACCATTTTCAGTGTCTTTAAAATACGTGTGACGCACAGGAAAGGGTTTCAGCAAATTAAAAGCAATGGGTCAAGGAATTACATTTTAAATAAAAATGATTGCCAGTTTAAAGGTTTGCAACAATGTGGACATTTTTTTTGTCTGTTTAATTAAGTGTCAAGTGTTTGCAGAGGAACAGGTGTTTGGATTGTATTTGTAATCTGTGGTTTTTATCTCTGTAAATAAAGGTAAAGGAGCTAATCAAACAAGACCTGATGTGATTTTCTTTAACAGCAGAGCAATGGCCTGATTTTCACCTTCGCTGTGCAGGTTGGATGGCTTGTCAATCATTACCTGAATGTGTGAAATTGCGGGGCAGGTTGAGGCAGGTTGAGGTATAAAGCAGAAACTGTTCATCATGTTTCAGACTCCAATCCTGACATCTTCAACCTCCATTATTTTTATTAGATTCATGACCAGGGTCTTTTAAAACTGTCTCAATACTTAAACTTTAGCTGTTGTGCTATGTTTCAGCCACAAACATCATTATATTTAATGCTATTTCAGGTGAAGGTCGAACACAAAGCAGTACATAACTATGAGGCAAAAAGGGAAATGAATGATATTTTTCAACTATTTTGCTGTAAACTGACTTTGTGATTAGAGACATTCTGCCTCGGTCACAAATTGTTTATATCCTCAAACCAGTTTTGCTCTAGCCTTGTCCTCCCTCTCTAATCTGACATGGGGAGAACAAGCAGTTAGCATTCCTCAATGAAGACAAGCATCCCCACAGCATGCCAGATGACTTTGTCCTTTATTAATTAGACTACTTAGAACAGTTTCATTCTAATGTTTGATGTTTCCCTTTTCAGGGTTTAATTGAAAACTTGAAAAGTAACTTCTTAAAGTACAGCACATCAATCGCTTTGCTTAACTACACAATTATATACAATTCAATGCTGGTTGATCACGAAAATCCTTTAAAAATGCATCTAAGTTTGTTGGTGAAATACTAAACGTGTTATACTGTATACTTCCTCGGGTAGGAATATATTTGAAAGGCATTGTATGGTAGTGAAATTTGGGGCACCATGGGCTTCAGCATTTTACTAGGACTGAAAGTCACATGGATTTTGGTGCAGAAGTAGACACGCTTATTTCTGTTTAATTAAAAGGAATATTTTGCATTCGGACACACACGTCTGTAAAGGCTGTGGGCTGAGAGCCAAAAGTGTCAGCTCCGTTGCAGCTTGTCAGTTTAATTACTTTGTGTTGAACTTTAAACAGCATTTCACAAAATTTTCTTTTTAAAGAAATGTCTCATAAACAAATGGTTCCTCGTACAGGGTGTGAACCTGAGAAGTTTCTCTGTATGCCTAAATAAATGGCCTTAATGAACCTACTTAACAGTTTTCAAACAGCAATGTTTTTGTTTGTCAAAAGCTTTCGCTGTCAGGTGTTAGAACTGTGAGTGATCCTGTGGATTTTAGCAGCCTACTATTTCCCGCTCAGAGAGCTGATTCACTGCCTCTGGTAGGATCTTATCCAACCTTCTCCAGTCATAAACTAACACTTGCAGCAGGACTTCAAAGGTTCAGCAGGTAGCAGAGGTGAGAAAAGAGGCTTTCTTGCACTCGGGGGCCTTCCAGAGATGAAATGGAGCTGATTAGCAGGAGTGTGCTGCAAAGTCCCCGTGGGGCAGCAGCTGGGGGAGAACTCCCTAAGGGACTGGAGGACGTGTAAGTTTTGACAGCTCCTGCACCCTCTGGACACTGCAGGGTCAGGGCACCTTCAGAGAGGCTTGGGCTTGGTGTTTCATAGGAAGTCATCGGTAATTGCCATTCAGCCGATGGGACAGAAACAGAGACAACAATAACTGACAAAGAACACACAGCCCACTTCCTCTTTGTCTCCATGTGTTTTCAAGAAGGTTGCTACCTCCTCTACAGCAGAACAAAGCTGCAATAAAGTTTTCCCAATCAAATCTAGTGCTGCAGAAGCCGTTGAGAAGGAACAACATTTAGAGGCAAGCAAACCACTGGTGCTGTGCACCCGCAGCACCCGAAAAAGCCTAGATGGAACAGCTTGTTGCATGACAAGACTGCATTATTTTGTTAATGTAGCTCCATTTGTCTTTGATCCAATCTCATGTTGTCATGGCTAGTGTGAAAATCCCTATTAAGTGCATGATCCAGCACCGCGCCCATTGTGATTGTGATAATCTCCTGCATTGATATTCCACTTTGTTCCTTTTGTTTCTTTGTCACTGAGCACAATGTGAGGTTAATTAGCAGCCACTGCTACTGGTACCCCAGCATTCCCGGACACCCCACTGCAGCTGAAGTGCGCTCTTTGCTGACTGTCAGAGACCAAACGCAGGCCCCTGAGCCGATTGTAAGTAAGCATGATACAACCCGGCACTGAGTTAATCCCTTTCAGACATCACCAACTGTAATTGTCTCTTAACATCATTAATTGCTCTTATCGTTTCTTTACATGGTGTTTAAACACACAGAAGAGGATTTAGAACAAAATTAGAGTATCTCTGCAGATAAGGTTGCTGTGATTATATTTATTCAACATTAAACTGCTTTGATTTGAATTTTTTATATAATTTCAAGATGTCACATCGTAATTTCCTTTCTTCAGTGATTAAAGAAAAAAAACAACAACATTCAGTGCAGCACATTTATCTGTAATACTTCCCTTCCACCACTTCACATCTCCCATTCCCTGGTGGTCTAATTTATGTTAAGTCACAAACCTCCCCTATGGCTGTTTTGAAATGTTCAGAATGGAGACTGTGTGCTGCAGGTTTATGCCAGCCTCCACAATCCCCAGTGTAATTGTTCTCTCTGGGAAAAGCACATCTCAGTGAAACCATCTGCAAGTCCATGGGGCTGTTTCCCAAAGAATGAGTGGACTTCTTAGGGGGTGCCACTGCAATCCA